GTTCAGCAGTTCGGACGGAGACCACCTCTCTTGAGGGAACAGCGTGATGCACAGCACTCCCATGGTGACAAAGTACTTATCTGCTATGTTGCAGCCCGTGTGACGGAGGGTGGCCAGTATCGTCTGCATGGCAGGCCTTGTGTCTTTGTGCTTCGCGTGAAGAGCTCGAGCGTTCATAGCCTTCATGTAGTCCAGCTCGAATGTCTCGTCCTACTCCGGGTTGTAAACGCCAACCAAGTTGGATAGGTTCGCGGCGTGCGTCTTTTTACAGTAACCTTGCTCGGACCCCTTGTATGGCACCAAGGGCGAGTCGCTGTGCAACTCCCACATCACACAGTACCAGCTGAATATGTTGCTCCCGGTGGCCGCGTTCAAGCACCACAGCACTTCGGGAGCCATGTTAGTGCGGTTGCCTCGCATATGATCCGGCGTGGAGAAGTTGCACGCCGTGCCAAAGTCGCTGATCTTGAAAGCGAAGGGTATGGGCTTTCTATTTGGCTGGTGACAGACCAAGACGTTCCTGTACGTGAAGTCCCTGTGCTGGATGGCTCTCGATCTCAAGTACTCCAGCCCTCGCAGGGTGTCCAGTTCTACGGCGGGCATGACCACGGCACTTCGCATGTGCCACATGAACTCCTTCAACGAGAACAGGGCTCGTTCCATGAGGAGCACCACTCTGCCTCCCAACTGGTAGCCGGGGACGTTGCACCAGAAGCCGCCGAACGTACGCAGGATGTTGGGGTGTTTCATGGAGACGCTGATCATGACCTCCTCCGCCTGAGAGGCAATGTGCGCGTCAACGACTGCATGTCGAAGGACCCCTCTGTCAAGCTCCTAAAGTTTGCAGATGACACAGCAGTCATTGGTCTCATCTGAGACGATGATGAGTCACCCTACAGAAGGGGGGTAGAGCAGCTGGTCCTGTGGTGTAGCCGCAACAAACTTGAGCTGAACACGCTCAAAACAGTGGAAATGACAGTGAACTTCAGGAAGAGCCCTCCCACCTTGCCCCCACTTACCATACTTGGCAGCACTGTATCAGCAGTAAAGTTCTTCACGTTCTTGGGCATCAAGAAGGCATCGCAGAGGATGTACTTCCTGTGCCAGCTCAGGAAGTTTGACCTGCCTCAGGAGCTGCTGATACAGAGGAATCATCGAGTCTGTTCTCTGCACGTCTATCACTGACTGGTTTGGCTCAGCAACCAAACAGGACAAGTATAGACTTCAGCA